ATGTCCCGAGAGGCTTATTTTATTTGATCAGTTTAAAGGTAGTCATGACTTTATCATTTGAAACCTCTATCCAAATTTCATGATACGATTGGATAGATATAGTGGACTTCTTGTAGTTGAATTAGATAATAATAAAGTACATTTTGAATAGACATTGGTTGCAAGATTTGGCTCTATCAAATCAAATTTTGGTTTATGTATTCTAGCCTATGCCTATATATATAGGCATGATGAAAAGTTTTACTCACGCCAACTCTTATCACACATATGGTAGAGAGAAAGAGTGATCAGAAATTTTCATACATCACCAATCGCAGTCAATCAATAATCTTTTACCAAAGTAGAGGAAGGAATTTCGGAACGTGCATTCAAACACTTTTTTATATATTTCAATATCGAGGTAAGATACTTTATATGCAAATGTTTTTGTTTCCTTATACTTTTATATTCAATTAAATATGCATGGATTGCTAGTAGACATTCATTTTTTAAAAGAGATATGAAATCCCACGGGATTATAAGAGGACCTAAGATGATGGTGTCGTTTGGACACTGATATACTTCATAAGATCAGAGTTGTATGAAGTGTAATTTTTATTGTTATTTATTTGTATATGAAAACTGCACGTATCTTACTGGGTGTTTTCGAATCTCACTTTTACAATTTTTTACAGGTTAGATCGGGTCAATTAGACTTGTGGTAGGGCAGTGATGCGAGCTGCCAAGAGGATCGTAGGAACAGAGAATAAATTTTTTATTAAGTTTTTCTGCCTTCATAATTATTTGTTGATTTACTTTAAGACATATTCATTGTTATTTTTTCATATACGATTGCTATATTTACTTTAAATTTATGAATGTCACAGTTATTATTTATTAAAAAAAATTATTTTGATATTTTCGCATGTAAAGTAAAGAAAAAATAAATTTTTGGTAACGCTTCGGTGTTATGAAAATTTGGGATGTTACAAATATTGTCTAGACTTACAATGTAGAATTCCAAAAAGGGACAACTTCCTTTTAGATATGGAATTCATCTATCTAAGGAGCATTGTCCCAAGATTGCAACGGAGAAAGATTACATGAGAAATGTTCCTATGCTTCGACTGTGGGAAGTCTCATGTATGCTATGCTTTGCACTAGATTGAATATTTGTTATGCTGTGGGTATTGTTAGTTGTTATCAGTCTAATCCAAGACCAGAGCATTAGGTAGCGATGAAGCATATACTCAAGTATCTTCGGAGAATGAGAGATTATATGCTTGTCTATTGAGGACATGATTTGAATCCTACTAGATTTATTGATTTCGATTTTCAATAAGATCGTGATTGTAGAAAGTCTATGTCGGGATCAGTGTTTTACTTTGGGAGGTGGAGCTTTGGTATGGAAGAGTATCAAGCAATCTTGCATTGCTGAGTCCACCATGGAGGAAGAATATGTAGCGGCTTGTAAAGCTGCTAAAAAAGCTGTATGGTACAAGAAATTTCTTTTAAACCTTGACATGGTACCTTTGGCAATGAGACCCATAATACTTTATTGCAATAATAGTGGAGCGATTGTCAATGCTAAAGAACTAAGGAGTCATCTGCGTGGCAAGCACATCGAGAAGAAATATCACTTATTAGAGAGTTTGTTCATCGAGTAGACCTAACGGTTAGTAGGATTGCATCTGCAGATAATTTTGTGGATCCATTCACCAAGACCTTACCAACTAAAGTTTTTGATGGACATTTTAAGGGAATGAGTATTCTTAATATGTCACGCGTACTCTACAAAGGGCAAGTAAGAGATTGTTAGTTTGATGCCCTTTCTTCGATTAGTGGTCTATAAAATCATATTATTAATTGAGGTTCATTTACTTGTGTGTTATAATTTGAAGCGATTATCTAAGGTTCTATGATCATATTGGATGTAACAAATTGTATGCTCGATAGTTTGGGTATAGTAAAATATAATTTGTGATGTGATCAAAATTATGTTGTTCACAATTTGTACATAAAGTTAAATGCTTTATGTTGATAAGATTACATTGTTCTTATTAAGATTTGTTTAGATCTTATAATAAAAACAATAATGTGTTTCGATACACATTGAACGGAATCGCGTAGATAACTCATTTGTGACTGTTCGAAATGAGATTCTACTAGATTATCAAATAAGTCGCCTAAATTCTGAGCGAGTAATATACCTTTAATTGCTAGTTCAAGTTCTTTGAGGTATCAATGAGTGAAGTCCTAAATAGAAGATTGATTTCAGTGCTTTGAGAATCGGATCGAAACAATTAGAGATCATATACTTGCAATAGTGGAATTCATTAATCATTAAGATGAGACGATCTCACTCAAAAATATTTTCCTAGGCAAATTGAACCTGAACTGAGTAGTTCGACGGTAAGATCGTTGGACTTTATATCGTGATTTGATCACAACGAATTTGCCGTATGAAAATGGAACTTAAAGGGTAATACATGTTGAAGGGCAAAACAGTCATTTTGCTAGTTTCAACATATTGGACGTCAAATGGGGGTTGACTTGTGTAACGATAATCGGAGGATATTATTATTAGATCATAATTTACTTCTATAACTATCACTCCACTCGAGAGCGCAGTCTTAATTTTTTGGTAGATTAAGCTGGGATTAGTAGATGTAACTCAATTGATTAAGAGTTGACCCAATTAGAAATATATATTTGAGCTTGGGTCATGTGAGTCCGTTCTATGAACAATTCTTTCTATACGCGCAGCCTTGTTGGACAAAATAAAGGGATGTAGAGAGTTATATAAACAAAACTCAGAAAATGGAAGAAGGTGTAGAATGAAAAAGCACTAGGATCATACTGTTGCACGAGCCGAAGAATGTCAAGAAATAAACAGTTGTTTCCATGTTAACAATAATTACACCATTGGATAAAATAACAATTAGTTGTAAATAAGAAAGCATACTGAACAACATGTTAATCCTTTTATGACAATGGAATCAGAAGTTCCCAAAGTAGAGATGAAAATTCTTGGAAACCAATTTTGAAGCCATTCTTGATTTGGGTTTTGAGCAAGAGGCCGAGGCTCGAATTTTTTTAATTTTTTAACCACACAATCTCTAAAAAATCACTATTTGAAAATACACTTTTCCTCAAATTCTCATTACAATGGAGTACAAACAGTGGGTAAGTAAAGGTGGGCTCCAATCCACCTAAATTTGAATTTCTATTTATCAATTTTTTTTATTTTTTTAACAAAGTGTGAATTTTAATTTTGGATTTTTTTGTGGATTTCATGTATGTTTGAGAAAAATATATATATAATTTTATTTTTTATTTTTTTATAATCTAATTGTCAATATCAAACATCAATTTTAATCACACTCTTCGAACGGCTCACCATTATTATCCATTTATTCACTAATCATTTTTATCACTTTATAGTTTAAGAAATTTGCACTTTTTATCACCAATCTTGGCGAAACCTGACGAATCTATCCACAATATTTGTGTGCATAATAATTCATCCCCAACTATTTTACTTATATAACAAAACATCTTTTCCTCCATTTTGGCCATGAAATTTACAAAATAAAAAATAAAATCGTTTTCTTTAAATAAGCAAAATTTAAAAAAGCAATAAAATAAACGAAAATAAGATAAAATTGTAAAACGAGTTGTATACTTTTTAAAAGTATAAATATATTTCACTTAAAATAATTAAATAAATATTGACAAAAAATTTAGAAAAGCTAATCATGTCATCTTTCACAGCCTAGCTTATCCACACCCACTTCTGACCAAACACCATTTTCACAAATGAAATCACATCGATGATAGCTCGTTCATCTTAGAAAAATTAATTAAAAAGATTTATTGAATAAAAAATCGATAGCATGTTGATCCTCAAAACTACCATAAACAGTGGGCACCTCACAAATCATCTACCATCAATTTGTAAGGAATAATGCTCCTTGTACACTGAGCCTTTACACTCCCGTCACATGAGGAAAGGGGCCCACACCCATTTAATCAGTGGATCCCGTCCCTCATGTGAGAGGGCTGTACATTGAACCTTACATGTAACAGGGCCGATTTGCAAGAACTAAATCATAGCCTTAGCCTAGACTACAAAACTCAAATTGTAACTGCCGAATTTTACGTGGGTTGCTATTTTTTATCTTTTTTTTTTTTTTTTTTTTTTTTCAAGGTGGTGGAGGTTGTCGTGTTGGTGGTACCATTGTTGGAATGCTTATATATGTGGAGGGAGTGTGTGACAGCGAATGGTGTAAAATTGGAAGGAGTTGGAGTTTCCTAGTGGATGGGTGAGCTTGACTAGGAAATATGAAATGTTTATTTTTCTATTTTTTAATATGCATTTAATTATTTTAAGTGTTGTTTATTTGTACTTTTTAAAAAGCTATGGGACTATTTTGCAATTTTTTCTCGTTTTTTCCTTTATTTTATTTTTGTTTATTTAAGGAGGAAAGCAAATTCGCCCGTTGATTAACAAAATGGATAGAATGACAAGTTTTGCTACATAATTGGAAGGTAAATGTTGAAGGTGAATTTGTACATTTTGTGGATGTTGGGAAAGAAAAGTGAAAATCTCCCATATAATTTTTACAACTTAAAAGTCCATCTAAACAAACTTCTCATCTCCAACCTCACAAAAAGTCACATGTAATAAAATACCGATCTAACTTGCACTTAAGTGATATTAAATAAGAGGCACAATTAAATGAATTATATAATTTCGCCTTCAATTAAACCTATCACATTATGATACTTGGAACGACGTTTCCGTACCATTGCTGCTAAATGGCATTATTCGCCTATTTTCCTATAGGTTGGGATAATGGTACAAATAAAATTGGTTAACGGCATTTCTCACACTTCTTTAAAAGATTTGAGGACAAAGACTTTTAACCTATGTTTTTTTCCAGTTAGTACAACTACTATACACCATAGTACAACTTCATTAGACAATATAACACTAACTAAACTAACATACAGATGAATAGCATTGAAGAATTCAGACATCATTTCACAGAAATATACTTCCGATGTCATGAAAATCATCTAAAAATTTTAACATGAAACACCAAAAAAGAACGCGAAGTAGAGTTCAAGAGTCGCCTCTCTAAAGATTCAAGCCACCTGATAATAAATCCTCAAATCTGAATACATGGATAAAGTACAAAAGACCATCCAATAACACCACAAACCAGACATTAATTGCTGCGTAAATCTTTCAGACCTTTAACTAGCATAGAAGCTTAAGAATCCAGTTCCGTATAGGAACTGGAATTGTGAAGGTTTTCACCAAATCAACATACAAGAAGATTGTAAGATATTATAATGCATAAAGGGTAGGACGAGTACTCAATAACGATATTTGGTGGAGTAATCTTTCGGAGCAATGACTAGACCACGGCCCTTCCTTGCACCACGGTAGACCGTCTCGACGATGTCGATGAACTCCTGTTTATCCTTCAGTGCCCAGTTGATCTTGTTGTTGTTTCCAGTGCCAAGATCAATCATAATGTGCTTGTTTCTGAAGAAGAACATGATGGTGGACGGGTCATATAACTCGTACATTGTGTTAAAATCTGGCACTTCTGTGATATCCACAAGGTAAATAACTGCAAAGTTCTTTAATGTTTCAGCAACTGAAGCCAACACCTCGTCCATCTGAAACCCAAAAAAATATCGAATTGTAAACAACCAAAACAGAATTAGAAGTCTGCAGATCAACTTATGAATAATGAGAAGTTATCAAGAGCAATCAAGCAAATAACAAAAATGAATTCAGCCAACTAAAATGCGTAGACGAAGAATTGTAAATAAGATACTATCTCCAGGGAAACTGAAATTTCTTCCTCCTTACCACCATCCTCTCCGTGTCAGATAAATTATGTTATTCAACCTCTTAATTTGTAACACAAATTTCAGTCGCTATTATATTAATGTAAATCTATCGGAAGGAAAATATAAAACCTTGGGTCATGAGTTGGAATACTTCCATTTAAACCTTATTTGATTTTTCTCGAGTTCAAAAAAATAAAAAAATAAAAATAAAATAAAAATAAAACTATTACTAGAACTAAAATTTATCATAAGCACCAAGGGAACTGGGTAAAAGAAAGAAACATACTACATAACACTTGCAAAAGGACCTATAGAACAAAAGCAGTTACAGAGCTTTCTTAAACATTCAATGCAACCTTCAATCTCCAAAGAAATCAAACACAAAATAGTGGGGTAAAAGGAATCACTTCATTCAGCAAGCAAGGCTATGCTTTACTCCAATAAACTTGTCGTATATTGAAACGAAAGGATCGAAACCACATTCATTGTCCAACAATATTTCTGGATGGGTACCCCTGTGGAGGGGCCACCGAACTACATCTTCAACTTAATGCCTAGCCGAAAGATGTCCCCCTCCCCATCCGCTGACGCTTCCGACCTTCTTTTTTCTTTGTCATAGAGTATTAGAAGTGATCAGTCCCAACTGGTACTTGATCCCCGGGGGGGAGGGGGGGTGCTGGTTTGGTTTCATCCGTTTTTAAAGATTGAGTAAATTAACCTTCTTTTATTGGTCCTACCAGCCCCCTTACGTTCCACACAATTATAGGTATTGACTATAAAGACACTTTTCTCATCGATTGTCATGCTTAAATCTATTTGAATCCTTTTATCTATTACTACTCATTATGCTTATGAGGTTTGTCAAATGTACGTTAAGACAACATTTTTCAAATGGACGTCTTGAAGAGACCATCTACATGATGCAACCTGAAGGGTTTGTGAAAAAAGGCAATGAAGGAAGACAGAGCACTCATTATCTTTACTTGTCTCTCTACTACGGCCTTCCCATTGCTCTAACCCTAAGCTATGATGCTCGGACTCGGGTACAGGTATCAATACGGGTACGTATCTAAATGTCGGATCTTCTATTTTCTAAAATAATGTGGGGACATGACTAAAAAGAGTCCAAATTTTGGACACGGGTACGTGATACGTCTTTCAAACTTCAATTTTTTACTAATCCAAAATATCGTTTTAAATAAACCAAAATAAATTATTAACAAAGAAGGAAATCAGTATTGAATAGGGAGTTAAGAGGAATAAAATATAATTTTGGGGTTTGGTTTTCAAGAATGGGAATTACTAAAAGTTATAAAAAATAGAGAACGAGGAATTTGATTGCAATTTGGACCTAGTAGAGTATTAAGTAGCAAAAAGTTTGCAGGTTATAGAGGTCCATTTACAGACTTAAGCAAGCGTCCACATCTTGGAATGGAAGATTTGATCAAACCATTAAAACCTATAGTTTTGAACAAAATTTGGATGAACCCTATGTATACAAGCGAATACAAGGGAAGAAAGTAGTTTTTTATTATTATTTATATAGATGACATTCTACTCATTGAAAATGATGTAGGGATGTTGTCATCTGTAAAGAAATGGTTGTCACAGTAGTTTGACATGAAAAACTTGAGAGAAGCTAGTTATATTTTGAGAATTCGTATCTTACAAAATATGAAAAATAGAAGGATTGCATTATCCCAAACTTCATATTGACAAAATATTGTAGCAACCCGAAAATTTTAGAATAAAAAATTATTTATTTTATATATATATTATATATTTACACTTTAAAGTTGAGGACTAAAATGAAAAATGTTTTAAATTATATTTTATTTGGGTCAAATAATTAAATTTTAATAGAGTGAGTATAAATATATCAATATTGTACTTGTTGGACGGGTCATAATTAATTATGCATTTTGGGCTTGAGAAATAATTATTTCGAATATGTTATGCCCGTTTATTGAGGTTGAAATATATTACCTAAAATTACATTATGTTAATATTGATTTTAGACCCTTTAAATCCATCCTCACTTGTGCTAATTTAAATGAAGAAATATTTTCATTGTTTGAAGGATTTAATATAATATATGAAAGGCACTTTCTTAGCTAGCATAGTACATTGTACACCATGTGTAGTTAGAGATGTCAATGAGTCGAGTTAAGCAGGCTCGCGAGCCAAAGCTCGAGGCTCGGGCTTTGTCGAGTCGAGCCAAGCCAGTTCATTTTTTTTTTAAATAACAAGATTATGAATCTAACGTTTTCTTAAAAAAAATTTTAAAATTGCATAATTTATACGAGTTACAAATCAAATAAAAATTACAACTTATAAAATTGCATTATAAATTAAATAAAAATTACAACTTACAACCCTCTTCCTTTTTTCGGGTTTGGGACGAAGTTAAAATTGTACATGAATAAAATATTTCTTATACAATTTTTCTTAAAACAAATAAATTTAAAAATTAAATTTTGTTTTGAAATAAATTATTTTAAAAACTTACAACATTCTATGTTTGGATCTGCTGCAACTCTTCGGTCAATATACTATCAACTTGTTCTTGAACACGTAATTCTGCACATTTCTAATCCTTCAAGCATATTAAAGCCTCCAATATATCTTCTTTTAGTCTTGAACGTTCGTCTGATAAAATTCGACCACCTAAACTGAATGCAACCTCTGATGCTACCGTAGACACCAGAGGTGTTAGTTGATTACGTGCAATTTTTGATACAATGAGATACTGTCTTTCATTACACCTCCACCAATTTAGAAGACTAAATGCCTGTAATTCTTTTTTAGGTAACACACTACAAACGTCCACGCACATATACCTAGCTAACTCGAAGGGAATTTCAAAAATTTGTACCACCGACATTTATCGCTCTAGACATCGATAAACTAGAACTAAATGAGGGAACACTTATATTGCTTTCCAAAAAAATTCATAAATTATCTGAATTTGTTAAAATATTTCTTGAAAAAGAACTTTGGGAAGTAGAACTACACTGGCCTTTTTATCAGCATAATAATTATGCATTTCAGATAATATAGATTCTATATTCACATGAGATAATTCCACATTCATGAAATTTGAAATCTCCTTTACACTAGCTATTGTGCCATTCAAATTAAGTCGAGGGTCAATTACTGAAACTAAAAAAATAAAGAGGAAATTTCTTCCCAATATTTACGAAATTTTAACTCCATAGAGCAAAGTAAGTCAAAGAAAAAGTGCAAATTCCTGTATTTATGAAATGTTTGTGAAATGTAGAAAAAATATTGTAAAACAAGTGAAGATGTAGGGTAATAA